ACATCCCTTGGGCCCACATGAGCACAACGAAGAGTATGGGGTGTGGGGGGGGGGAAAGGACAGAGAACGCAATAACTCGTGACAGAGACAACTCCCAAGCGGAGACAGGAGGGATGGGGACATCCTGCACCAGCAGCGGGGCTGGGACCACCCCCAGGTACCCTCAACCCCCCCTCCCTGCCCTGTTTTGGGTTCAGTGCCATGGGGTGGGGGGACCCCGGACACTCACTGCAAGTCCGCGGCACTGTCAACTTTCAGGAAGTCCTGTTTGGCTCTGAGCAAAATGTCGGGCTCAAGCCTGGGGACAAGAGGACGCGGTGGGGATGCGGTGGGGACAACGGGGACGAGAGACACCCCCCACACACACCCCACACCCCAACACCCCCCCCCATAAACAGCAACCACACAGAAACCAGCAGAGCCACACGGAGAAGGGGACAGGCAGCGCGACAGCCACGGCAGGAGGACACGAGGGGCCGGTCCCCCAGCCCATGGGGGGGGTGTGGGGTGTGGGGTGGGAGCGGGGACCCCCCCTTGGGTCTCACTTGACGTCCTGGCTGATCTGGCGCTCCAGGCGCTGGCGCCGCTCCTCCAGCTGCTCGATGGGGCTCTCCTCAGGGAACTCGTAGGGAGCCGAACGCATCTCGCTGTCAGCCAGGGAGCGACAGAAGAGCTCCTGCGGGGAGGGAGGGATGGAGGGAAGGGAAAAGGGAAGGATAAAGGGAAAGAGAGAGGAGAGGGAGAGGGAAGAGGGGAGAGGGGAGAGGGGAGAGGGGAGAGGGGAGAGGGAGAGAGGGAGAGGGGAGAGGGGAGAGGGGAGAGGGGAGAGGGGAGAGGGGAGAGGGGAGAGGAGAGGAGAGGAGAGGAGAGGAGAGGAGAGGAGAGGAGAGGAGAGGAGAGGAGAGGAGAGGAGAGAAGAGAAGAGAAGAGAAGAGAAGAGAAGAGAAAGAGAGAGAAGAGAAGAGAAGAGAAGAGAAGAGAAGAGAAGAGAAGAGAAGAGAAGAGAAGAGAAGAGAAGAGAAGAGAAGAGAAGAGAAGAGAAGAGAAGAGAAGAGAAGAGAAGAGAAGAGAAGAGAAGAGAAGAGAAGAGAAGAAAAAGAGGGGAGGGGAAGGGAAGGGAAGGGAAGGGAAGGGAAGGGAAGGGAAGGGAAGGGAAGGGAAGGGAAGGGAAGGGAAGGGAAGGGAAGGGAAGGGAAGGGAAGGGAAGGGAAGGGAAGGGAAGGGAAGGGAAGGGAAGGGAAGGGAAGGGAAGGGAAGGGAAGGGAAGGGAAGGGAAGGGAAGGGAAGAGGAGGAGGAAGGCAGAAGGAGCCCCCCCCGCCCCGGGATGCGCCGTGCCCCGGGCCCGGACCCACCTCAGCGATCTCCTTGCATTTGCCATCCATGGACGTGCGCAGATCCACCGGGAAGTGCTTCAGGCAATGGGAAGGCCCCGGCAGGGACCGCGCTGACTGCAGGGGCCGGGAGCCGGGTCCAGCCCGCAGCTCTGCAATGGGGCAGCCTGAGCGGGAGGGAAGGGCTTCACCGGCCCCTCCATGCCCCCCCCCCATCCCCACACCGGTGCCAGGGGGAAACTGAGGCAGCTCCAGGGCAGGAGGGACCCCCCTGTGCCCCCCCCCCCCATAACGAATGAGGAGCTCAGGATGGGGTCAGGGCACCCCCAGCATGGGGGGGGGGGGAGGATGTTGGGGTCCCCCCATCACACACAACCCCCTTCTCTCAGCGCTGCTTCATCCCCCCCCCCATCCATTCATCCTTCTGCCCCCTCAGTCCAGCAGGAAAAGCACCACGGGGAGGGGTTGCACCCCCATACTGGGAGGGATGGGAGGGGACACCCCCCAAAAGAAACCCCATCACCCTGACCCCACTGAGGTTGAATTGAGGCACCACTGAGAGCACCCCCTGCCCAGTACTGCATGGGGGGGGGGTGTGAACCAGGCCTCCTGTCCCCCCCCCTCAGCACCCATCGTTGAGGTCTGGGGTGGGGAAACTGAGGCACGACTCCCCCATGGTGGGTGCTCACTTGCTGGCACCATGGGGACACCCTGGGTGCCCTGTGCCATTGGGACGTGCCCATCACCCTGTGACACCTACCCGAGACACGCAGCACCCCATGTGCCACCCCAGCAGCACCCCAACCCGAACCCCCCCTAGGAACGGGTGCCACCTCACCTACCCCATGCCACCATCACCCTGTGCCACTGGAGACCAGTGCAACCAGCACCCTGGTGCCACCATCACCCTGTGCTATCAACTGGTGCCACCATCACCCTGCACCATCATCAACTGGTGCCATCATCACCCGGTGCCACCATCACCCCGTGCTATCATCAACTGGTGCCACCAGCACCCTGTACCATCATCAACTGGTGCCACCACCACCCAGTGCCACCATCCGGTGCCACCAGACCCCTCCCAAGCACCCAGCGCCGCGGTGCCAGCCACAACCACCCATATGATGCCACATGGCACTGCCTCCCCCCCCCCCCCAAACCCACCCCCGTCGACATCCCCTCCCCCCCCTCAGGGTCCCTCCTCTTCCTCTCCCCCCCCCCCCCCAGCACACAGCACCCGCTGCGCCACCGCTGCGCCGCAGAGCCCCCCCCCCCCCCATCACCCCCATTGCCAGAAATTGGGGAGGGGGGGGGGCGACACCACTGCACCCATCAGCGGAGCAGCCCAGACACCGCGGTGATGGTCACACACACACACCCCCCATAGCACCCACCCCATAGCCCCATCATTGGGGGGGGGGGGAGCACCCGTGGCGATGGGGTTGGGTCTCACCTGCGGGGTTGGGGGTCTGGAGGCTGCCCCGCTTCTTGAAGGGACACTTGGCCGTGGTGGCCGAGGCCATGGTGGCTCCCGGAGCTGCGGGGGGGGGGGTGAGGTTGGTGATGGCGGCGGAGGGAGGGGGGGGCCCGAAGGCGCTGGTTGATGATTGATGCGCGGGCGCCGGAGCTGGACCAAAGTCCCCCCCGGCGGAGCGCGGCCGGAAGCGGGGACGAGGAAGAGGATGGGGCGGGAGGAGGATGTGGCGCGGCGGGAGCGGGAGGAGGAGGAAGGAGGCTCCTGCTTGTGCCGCCCGCTGAGGGGGGGGCAGGCACCGATAACACCCCCCCCCCCGCACACACAGATGGTGTCGTTCCGTCGTTCCCCCCCCCCATTCACCGAGTGGCAGCGGCACCGCCAACAATGGGGTGTCGTCGTTCACACCCCTCCCCCCCGGGGTGGGCATCGTGTGGTGGCACCCCCCGGCGCTGCACCCCCCGGCAGGGACCAGCGCCCCCAGGAGGGAGTCACCGCCCGCAGCCCAGCGCAGACACTGACCCCCCATCAGACTCTGCACCCCCCCCGTTAGACATTGGACCCCCCCCGTTAGACATTGGACCCTCCATCAGACATTGCACCCTCCATTAGACATTGGACCCCCCATTAGATGTTGGACCCCCCCATTAGATATTGAACCCCCCATTAGACATTGCACCCCCCATTAGATATTGCCCCCCCCCTTAGATATTGGACCCCCCCATTAGATACTGAACCCCACATCAGACATCGCATGCCCCCATTAGATATTGGGCCCCCCCATCAGACATTGCACCCCCCATTAGACATTGCACCCTCCATTAGACATTGCACCCCCCCATCAGACATTGCACCCCCTATCAGACATTGCACCCCCCCATCAGACATTGCACCCCCTATCAGACATTGCACCCCCCCATCAGACATTGCACCCCCCCATCAGACATTGCACCCCCCATTAGACATTGCACCCCCCCATCAGACATTGCACCCCCCATTAGATATTGGAACCCCCCCATCAGACATTGCACCCTCCATTAGACATTGCACCCCCCCATTAGATATCGGACCCCCCCATCAGACATTGCACCCCCCATTAGGTTGTCCCTACCTGTACTGGTGGCTCCCGGTGCTGTGGCCTCGAGTGCTGGGGGGGTGCTGGGGGGTACCAGGAGCTCCCGTCCAAGACCCCCGAGCCCCCCCGGAGCAGCGGGAACGCCCGTGTCCCCCCCCCCCCCCGTGTCTGTCCCCCCCCGTGTCTCCCCCCCCCGTGTCCAAAGGGGGCAAGGGAGGTGATGCCACCTCTGTGCCAGGCTGGGGGGCACGAAGCCTGGGGGGGTGTCTGGGCTATGGACAAAGCCATGCCCCCCCCCGTGCCCTCCTGTGACACTGGGAGCGGGGTCTGGTTCGTTAATTGGACCCTTCATTAGCACCAGGGTCATTAGAGGCTGCGATGGGGCTTTGTGTCCCATCAAAGGGACGGCGGGGACAGGGTGTCCCAGTGCCCCCATGGCCGGGGGGGACACAGGAGGGGGGGGGACACACAACACAGGACACCAACGAGGGGACATCGAGCTCCCATTGGGGCGCAGTGATTTAGGGCACCCCTGAACCCGAGCACTGGGGACCTGCGGCACCTTTGGGGAGGCTCCCACGTCCCCCCACTGAGGTGAGACCCAAACCAGTCCCAGCAGGACATGGCAGGGGGACAATGGGGTGCAGGGGGACAATGGGGTGCAGGGGGACCCTGTTGGCTGGGTGCTGGGCTGGGGAGGGGGGCACTGGGCTCATTGGGGAAGGAGGAGGAGGAGGAAGGCTGAGCAGGATCCCATTAAAGACCTTAGGCAGCGGGAGGGCGATGGGTGGCACCCATGGCTGCTCATTACCCCATTAACTAACTCATCCCCCCCCCCCGGCACCCCCCAAGTGCCATGTCCCCCTTGTCACCAGCACCCAGGGGACCCCCCAGCTCCCAGGCATGTCCCTCTGTCACCCCCAAGGCCCCCCCCTGCCTCCCCCCAGCTTGTGGGGTGGGGGGACACAAGCAGCAGGTGACCCCATCCCTGATGCCAACCAACCCATGGGGGGACACAAGCCATGGACATGGGGGGGCCCTCCAACCCCATGGGACACAGGGTGTCCCCATGGCGACGGGGGGGGGGGGGTGTCTCACTACCTGTGTGTCCATCCCCCCCTTATCTAAAGCCCTATGGCCACCTCCCCGAGATGCTCCGTTGGTTTTTCCCCTGAGCCCTAATCTTTGCCATCTTGGGCTAAGTGGATTTCCTGGGTCACATGGTGAGATAAAAGGTCCCCAAATCCCAGGCTCCAAACAAATCAGGTTCTCCATGGGGATTTAGAGGAGAGCCCACCCGGGACACCGCGCTGCTCGGGGGCACCCCAACGCCAGGGATCGGCCTCTCGGGGCTCCTCTTTCCTCCTCCATCACCCATCGCCGTTCCCAAAGGAGAGCTGGAAAAGCCTGGGGACCTCGAGGAGCTCGAGGCGTTAGAGGAGGAGGAGGAGGAGGAGGTGGTGGAAGACGAGGCCATGGGGAGCGGGGCCAGCGCCGAGGACAAGGAGATGGCCAAGAGGTCCAAGGAGCTGGAGAAGAAGCTCCAGGAGGATGCGGATAAGGAGGCCAAGACGGTCAAGTTGCTGCTGTTGGGTAAGGCTCCGCAGGAGGATGCAGGAGGGGGGTCCCCCTCGTCCCTATGTGCCATTGGGGACCCCTTTGATGGATGGGGCAGGGGAGAAACACAACCAGGGCCTGGCTGTCCCCAGCCCATCACCTCCTTCCTCATCCCAACGGCTCCTCTTCCCTGCAGCTCCGTACCCCAAGGAGGAGCTCCATGGTTGTGGCATCAGCTCCTGGCGACAGCCAGGCGGGTGGCAGGGATAAAGGGGACAACGCAGGGATGGGACCAGGACACCAGGTCCCACATCCCCGGGGGGGGTGGGTCTTGGGGACCTCCTGCCACCAGCACCCCAATCCCTGCCACCTGGGGGGGACCCTGAGGGCTGTGGGGTGACAGGGAGGGGTGATGGGGCCTGATCCTGGAGGGGAGGGGACAGGTCAAGGCGATTAGCACCTAATTCTAAGCAGCTTCCTGCGCTGTCCTAAGCTGCTTACGGCACCGAGGCCACCACGGGAGGTGGGACACCAGGGACCGGTGGTGTCCGGGGGGTCCCCAACCACCCATGGGGGTCCCCAGGCTGTGGTGCAGCACTGGGTGCAATGGGAGCAGGGGGATGATGGCACTGGGAGATGCAGGACATGGGAGAGTGGCCCTGGTGCCCATCGCTGTGGCATCAGGCCTGGGGTCCATCCCACCCTGACCAGCACTAAGGTGTCCCCCTACCCTTCTCCAGGGGCCGGTGAATCAGGCAAGAGCACCATCGTGAAGCAGATGAAGTGAGTACGGCCCCAGGTCCCCCCTGGGCTATGGGGGGATGACACCCAGGGTCACCCATCCCCATGGTGGTGATTCCCACTGTGTGTCCCCCCCCCTGCATCCCTCAGGATCATCCACCAGGATGGTTACACGCCCGAGGAGTGCATGGAGTTCAAGGCCATCATCTATGGCAACATCCTGCAGTCCATCCTGGCCATCATCCGCGCCATGTCCACGCTGGGCATCGACTACGCCGAGTCGTCCTGTGCGGTCAGTTGGGGGCCACCATCATCCCCCACCCCCCCCCATGGCGATGGGGGAGTCCCACGGTGGGGTTTGGGCGCAGGGAGCCCCGGTGGGATGGGAGCAATGGTGGCAGTGGTGATGGTGGTAATGGCAATGGTGGCAATGGTGGCAATGGTGGCAGTGGCAATGGTGGCAATGGTGGCAATGGGGATGGTGGCAATGGTGATGGTGGCAATGGTGATGGTGGCAATCGCAATGGTGGTAATAGCGATGGTGGCAATGGCGATGGTGGCAATGGCGATGGGGATGATGGCAATGGCAATGGTGGCAATGGCAATGGGGATGATGGCAATGGTGGCAATGGCGATGGTGGCAATGGCCATGGTGGCAATGGGAATGGTGATGGTGGCAGTGGCAATGGCAATAGAGATGAGGGCAATGGGGATGATGGCAGTGGGGTGATGGCAATGGCAGTGGTGGCAATGGCAATGGGGATGATGGCAATGGCAATGGGGATGATGGCAATGGCCATGGTGGCAATGGCAGTGGTGATGGTGGCAGTGGCAATGGGGATGATGGCAATGGCAATGGGGGCAACGGCAATGGGGATGATGGCGATGGCAATGGTGGCAATGGCAGTGGTGATGGTGGCAGTGGCAATGGGGATGATGGCAATGGCAGTGGTGGCAATGGCAGTGGTGGCAATGGCAATGGGGATGATGGCAATGGCAGTGGTGGCAATGGCAATGGTCCCTCTTGCAGGACGATGGGCGGCAGCTCTTCAACCTGGCTGACTCCATCGAGGAGGGCACGATGCCCCCCGAGCTCGTGGACTGCATCAAGAAGCTCTGGAAGGATGGGGGGGTCCAGGCTTGCTTCGACCGCGCCGCCGAGTACCAGCTCAATGACTCGGCCGCGTAGTGAGTGGGGTCAGGGCACCGGGGAGGGGGGACGGACATGGGAACGTCAGCAGTGCCTCACAACCCCATCTGTGCCCCCCTCCAGTTACCTGAACCAACTGGACAGGATCACGGCCCCTGACTACCTGCCCAATGAGCAGGACGTGCTGAGGTCCAGGGTGAAGACCACGGGCATCATCGAGACCAAGTTCTCTGTCAAAGACCTCAATTTCAGGTGGGTTCGTGCAACCCCTATGATCCCCCCATGATCCCCCCATGATTCCCCATGATCCCCTCCATGATCCCCCCATGATCCCCCCATGATTCTCCATGATCCCACCATGATCCCCCCATGATTCCCCATGATCCCCTCCATGATCCCCCCATGATCCCCCCATGATTCCCCATGATCCCCCCATGATCCTCTCCATGATCCCCTCCATGATTCCCCCATGATCCCCCATGATCCTCTTCATGATCCCCCCATGATCCTCTCCATGATTCCCTCCATGATTCCCCCATGATCCCCCATGATCCTCTCCATGATCCCCCATGATCCTCTCCATGATCCCCCCATGATTCCCCATGATCCCCCCATGATCCTCTCCATGATCCCCCCATGATCCCTCCATGATCCCCCCATGATCCTCTCCATGATCCCCCCATGATCCTCTCCATGATCCTCTCCATGATCCCCCCATGATCCCCCCATGATCCTCTCCATGATCCCCCCTCCATGATCCCCCCATGATCCCCCCATGATTCCCCATGATCCCCCCATGATCCTCTCCATGATCCCCCCATGATCCCCCCATGATCCTCACCATGATCCCCCATGATCCCCTCCATGATCCCCCCATGATCCCTCCATGATCCCCCCCATGATCCCCTCCATGGTGTCCCCCATGTTCCTCCCCAGCCCCAATGCTGGGGATGGGTTTTGGGGTGAACCTGATGCTCCAGGGACCACCAACCCCATCTGGACAGGGATGGTTGGTTACCGCATCCCTGACACCGCTGAGGACAGGGTGCTGGCACCATCACATGTGGGGTATCAGGACCAGATGTGCCCCCCCCACCCCATCTTTGTCCCCATCCCAACCAGGATGTTCGATGTGGGAGGGCAGAGATCGGAGCGCAAGAAGTGGATCCACTGCTTCGAGGGGGTGACCTGCATCATCTTCTGTGGGGCGCTGAGCGCCTACGACATGGTGCTGGTGGAGGACGATGAAGTGGTGGGTTGGGGTCCCGGAGGTGCCCGGCTGCAAGTCGGTGGATGGTGGGGGGGGGAGCAGAGTTGGTGCTTGGGGGGGGATACAGAGGGAAGGGACAAGCACTTGGTGCCATCTGATGTGGGAATGGGGTGGGAGAGGAGGGATGGAGCTCGTGGGGACACAGGAGCCCCGTCCCTGGCAGTGTTCAAGGCCACGTTGGACACAGGGGCTTGGAGCAAGCTGCTCCAGTGGAAGGGGTTGGAGCTGGAGGAGCTTTAAGGTCCCATCCAACCCAAGCCTGCTGGGGCTCCATGGCACAAGGCTGCTCAGTGAAGTCCTCCGGGTGCCCAGTGAGAGCCACTGCTCCAGGACCAGGCACAGCAGCTTCATGGGCAGAGGAGGAACGGGAGAGCCCCAGGACAGGGCATCCCTCAGGAGGAGCAAGAGGAGCGGAGCAGTCAGAGGCATCTCCCCCGCCGTGGGAAGCTGGACAAGGCACATCCATCCCCATCACCCTGAAGAAGGCGCCTGCTGCCATACAGGTGGAGGAGATCCCACAGGAGCATCCCAAGCATTCCGCAGGGCTGGGAGCTTTCCCTGGATAACGTTCCCAACGTGATCACCGGCATCCTTCGTTCCTGAACATCCCAGGAGCTGGCAGGAGGGATCAGAGCATCACATAGCCCGGAGCTGCTTAACACAGCTCCTACCTGAGCACCACTTGGATTTACCCAGCACTGGGATGGGGTTCAGATGGGAAGAGGGGTTCTGGGTGAAGGTGGCACAGGCAGGACAGGGAAGAGCTCTTCCCTTGGGAATGGGGGGGGGGTTGGAGGCTGCAATGGCTCCGTGTCTCCTTGCAGAACCGCATGCACGAGTCCCTGCACCTATTCAACAGTATATGCAACCACAAGTTCTTCGCCGCCACCTCCATCATCCTCTTCCTCAACAAGAAGGACCTGTTTGAGCAGAAGATCAAGAAGGTCCACCTCAGCATCTGCTTCCCTGAATACGACGGTGAGTCCATGGGTTCCCCCCTCCCAGAGACCCACAGAGTGTCCAAACCACGTGGAGATGGCACCTTGGGTTGGGGTTATGGGGGGAGCAGTCGTGTTCCTGGGGGTAGGAGCAGAGGAGAAGCAGCCATGGCCTTGGGAAGGGTTAAAATGGGTGTGAGGTGCTTGGCTGTGCGCAGGCACCACCAGCCCCTCCTCCTCCTCCTCCAGAGGAAGCTTCCAACCCAACCCAACCCCAGAGCATCCCCAGGTCCACCGTTGGCCACCGTTGCCATGGGCGCAGCTCAGCAGCCCCGTTTCCTCCCTCCGCAGGTCCCAACACGTTTGAGGATGCAGGGAATTACATCAAGACGCAGTTCCTGGACCTCAACATGCGGAAGGACGTGAAGGAGATCTACAGCCACATGACCTGTGCCACAGACACCCAGAACGTCAAGTTCGTCTTCGACGCCGTCACGGATGTCATCATCAAGGAGAACCTCAAGGACTGCGGCCTCTTCTGAGCAGCGCGTGGCAGGTAGCCGAGAGGCTAAAGGGGATGGGGAGGGGAAAGGGGATGCGATGGGGCAGAGCCCAAGGCATGGGGTGAGGGGAGGGGGCTTTGGCATCAAACTCGGTGTGGAAACAGCTGCCTGTGGAGGAAGGATCATGGAATCCCGGATTGGTTTGGGTTGGAAGGGAGCTTAAAGCTCCTGCAGCTCCAACCCCTGCCACGGGCAGGGACCCCTTCCACTAGAGCAGCTTGCTCCAAGCCCCTGTGTCCAACCTGGCCTTGAACACTGCCAGGGATGGGGCAGCCACAGCTTCTCTGGGCACCCTGTGCCAGCGCCTCAGCACCTTCATAATGAAGAACTTCCTCCTAATATCGCATTCAACTCTTCCCTCTTCCAGCTGGAAGCTGTTTCTCCTCATCCCATCCCTACATCCCTTGTCCCAAGCCCCTCTCCAGGTTTCCTGCAGCCCCTTCAGGCACTGGAGCTGCTCTGAGGTCTCCCCTTCAGGAGCCTTCCCTTCTCCAGGCTGACCCAGCCCTGCAGCATCTCCATGGCCTCCTCCGTGGTTGGACACAGGGGCTTGGAGCAAGCTGCTCTCGTGGAAGGTGTCCCTGCCCGTGGCAGGGGTTGGAGCTGGGATTCCATGATAAACCATGCACCTCAGCAGCACCAAACCTCCCATTCCCACATCACCGGTGCTGCTCCACTTTACAGCCTTGGCACATGGCAATAACCGTACCCGGGGCCATTCCGCTCTTCACTCCCTCTTCCAGCTCAGCACCACTCATTTGGGGTCGTAACCCTCCCTTCTCACCCCTGTGCTCCCTCTCTTGCCTCTTCCCTCTCCTTCATCTCTCCCTCATCCCCATCCCCAAGCAGATTCCAGCCAACAGATTCCACCCTTTGGTTGTTCAGGGAACCTCTGGCACTTCCCTCATCCCTGAGCATCAATGGGTGTAAACGCCACTGCGTGGGGCAGGAGTGCTTAACCCACTGAGTGTCTCCCATCATGGTGCAATGAGATGCTGGTTCTCTACTTGCCCCCTTTCCTCCAGCTTCCTCATGGAGGTGGACGGGGTTTTAACCTCCTCTTCTTCCTCCCTGCCTGCCAGAAGAGGACAGGACTTCATCCCCATCGCCGTTCTGCTGCGCAGAGCCAAAAGGATTAACCAAGACACACACAGATGATGTCCTCGGAGCCCACTTTTTCTATGTCCTGCCCAACCACGTCACCTCCCTTCAGCCCAGGATAGGATGGGGCTAAAGCTGAAATCCCTGCTCCCTTTCGTGGCCGTTTCCTCTTTATCCCTGTTGGTTTCTAGAGGCTCGGAGCAAGCTGCTCCAGTGGAAGGTGCCCCTGCCCGTGGCAGTGGGTTGGGACTGGATGAGCTTTACGCTCCCTTCCAACCCAAACCGTTCCATGACTCCATACCAAGCCATCGTCGTCCCGAGCCAGCAGCATCACTTCGGGAGCAGGGCCAGACCCTCACCTCTTGGTTTCCTCCCTTCTACCAAAGCTGAATTCCTCAAAGCAGGAGTTCTGGAGGGCAGCAGAGGGAGGGCGCCCTGGGGGAACCCACCCCAGTCCTTTGGGAGAAGAAATGATGGGCTCGGGGTTGGTTTTGTGCCCCAGGTTGGAGTCGATGGTGGGCAAGCAAAGGCAGGAGCAGGAGCGTTGGGCTCTGAGGGAGGTGTGGATGCTCGTGGGTGGGAGGAAGAGGAAATGGTGACACCAGCCCCTCTCTGCGCTCTGTAGAGCTCCGGCTGCTCTTTACTGGTTGTAAATAAACGCTGGTCCCTCACAGCTGCCCCCGCGCGCTGCCACATCCCCTGTACAGCTTCATGTAACTGTAGGACACCCAATAAAGGACACAGGCATCGTGTGCACATCCCTCATGTCCATGGCTGCTCCCCAACCCCAGTTCCAGTGCCCGGGAGCTTTGGTTCACCACTCTTTGCTCACCAACACCTGCAGCGAGCGGAGATGCACCCAAAACCAAGCCCAAACCCTTCCCCACCAAAGCACGTCCCTACCTGGGTGCTGCCAGGGCTCTGCTGCAGCTCCAGCAGCAGTCAGGGAACACCTGGATGCTGCCAGGGCAGTTCCTGGTGAGATCCCCATCACTTCTAGCAGGGGGAAGCTGGAGCAGAGCCTCCAGAGCACAAATGCACTCTGCTGGCACCCAGCAGCACCCACGGAGCGCTTGATCCAAGTGCTTCTGGGCGAGTGTCTTCCCAATGGGTTACATCTGCATCATGGAACAGGGGCTGGAGCAGTGAATGGTGCAGGGAAGGAGCAGTGGAGCATCTGCCATAATCCTAATGAAGGACCGGATGGCTCCAGCTTCCAGCTCCGCACCACAGCGGAGCAGCAGACCCAGAGACTGCGCTGGGTTGAAGGGACCTTAAAGCTCCTCCAGTCCCAAACAACTGCCACAGGCAGGGACCCCTTCCATAGAGCAGCTTGCTCCAAGCCCCTGTGTCCAACCTGGCCTTGAACACTGCCAGGGATGGGGCAGCCACAGCTTCTCTGGGCACCCTGTGCCAGCGCCTCAGCACCCTCATAATGAAGAGCTTCTTCCCAGTATCTCCTTCAACTCTTCCCTCTTCCAACTGGAAGCTGTTTCTCCTCATCCCATCCCTACATCCCTTGTCCCAAGCCCCTCTCCAGGTTTCCTGCAGCCCCTTTAGGCACTGGAGCTGCTCTCAGGTCTCCCCTTCAGGAGCCTTCTCTTCTCCAGGCTGCCCCAGCCCAGCTCTCTCAGCCTGGCTCCAGAGCAGAGCTGCTCCAGCCCTCGCAGCATCTCCGTAGCCTCCTCTGGATTTGCTCCTACGACGATCTCTCCCATCCCATCCATTACCCCCCTGTCCCATGGGAGCACTTCCCTTCTTTCCCCAGCAAAGCACAAAAGTGGGGGAAGAAATGAGGAATAAACTGGAGACCAGGTTAAACCATTTACTCACCATTTTAATACTGCCAACAACTAGAACAGATGGGAACTGTACACGTGACAAACCGGGAGAGAGAAGTGGATGCAAGGGTTCAGCGAAGGAACATACTGAGGGCTTCCGACTGTTACTACAGGGAGACCGATGGCAGAGGGGAGTTTGGCACCACATATACAAAGTAAAGGCATGCTTGTCCATAGGGATTGGGAGGCTCCAGACAGAAAAGGCCATAGGGAAAACGCACAACAGAATTGCCCACCGCTTCCACCCAAACCCACAGCAGGATCGAAGAGGGGAGGAGTTGCTCTGTTAGCAGCACATGGTCCCCAGCCCCCTTGGAGCTCTGGTTCCTCTCCAAGGGGGGCAACACGTTCAGCTGGAGGCTGATCCCATGGAAGGAGTCGTGATGTGGGGATCAGCATAAAGCAGGTTCACCCCTAAAGCCTCCTCCTGCTGCAGGAGCTCCTTTGGGAAGGATGGCAGCAGGATGGGAACACGTTACATATCAGGAGAAGCCGTTAAGAGCTCTAAGGATCCTTTAAGTAGCTGCAGATATATTAAATCCTGACCATACCAAGTGTTAAAAACAAAGAGTTCCTGCTAAGAGGAATGCTTCCTGCATGATCTGCTCACGTGTGCATAGTTAAAGTGAGTAGTTTTTGTTGGGTTTTTTGCTTTTTTCTAGGTTTTTATTCTGAAAACAAGATTTGTTTGCAAAGAAAGAACTGACAACCAGTAAAGTCACTGTTATCCTGATGGAAAAAAAAAAAACAACCTTAAAACCAGACTAGTGGCGGCTTGTTAACCAAAGAAAAGAGAGAAAGCTACATATTGAAGGCCTGGAATCCAGCACCTCAACTTCCCAACAAGCTGTACACATCCGAGACAACACCATCGCGGCGGCGGCGGGATGAGCCCGTCCCACGAATGGTCGCTCCACTCCACCCTCACTCCACCAAGGAAAAAGGTCCCTACGAGAGAAGATTGTGCTAAAGAAGGCAACGTTCCTCATGCTGGTTGGCGTTGCCCTGGTCCCCTTCATGCTGCTGCTGGCCCCAGCGAGGCAGCCGAGAGGCTGGTTCTCAAGTCAGCGCGTGGAAGAAACTGGGATGGAAGGCAAGAGGGAAACGTTTAGGGGAGGTGCAAGGCAAAGCCTCAAGCCCCAAGGTACGAGCCCACCGTTACCTTCTGCCCCTTTGCTCCTCAGTAGAGCCCACACTCCTTCAGGTTGTTCTTAATGATAACATCTGTGACAGCATCAAAGACAAACTGCACGTTCTTGGTGTCGGTGGCACAGGTGAAGTGGGTGTAGATCTCCTTGGTGTCTTTTCTTCTGTTCAGGTCTTCAAACTGACACTGGATGTAGGCAGCTGCTTCCTCGTACGTGTTGGAGCCTGAAAAAGAGAAGATCCCTGTCTTTGGCCAGCACTTGACAGCACAGAGATCTTTTAAGCACACATTAAGCCGCTTGCAGCCATCTGCCTTATCCATCTACAAATCCAAATCCACCATTAACCCCTTCTGGTAAATCTGGAGGCTATTCCCAGCTCCTGCTCAGTGACCTTGGACAAGTCACTCCCTGCTCCAGCCTCCTGCCAGAGATCACTGGAACAGGCTGCTGTGCTTCATGCCCATTCATCCCAGGCTGCCCAGAGAAGCCCAAGCCCCTGTGTCCAACCTGGCCTTGAGCACTGCCAGGGATGGGGCAGCCACAGCTTCTCTGGGCACCCTGTGCCACTGTCCCACCACCCTCATAATGAAGAGCTTCTTCCCAGTATCTCCTTCAACTCTTCCCTCTTCCAGCTGGAACCTGTTTCTCCTCATCGCATCCCTACATCCCTTGACCCAAGCCCCTCTCCAGCTTTCCTGCAGCCCCTTCAGGCACTGGAGCTGCTCTAAGGCCTCCCCTTCAGGAGCCTTCTCCTCTCCAGGCTGCCCCAGCCCAGCTCTCTCAGCCCAGCTCCAGAGCAGAGCTGCTCCAAACCTCTCTCCCAGCCAAAAAGCACAGGGTGCCCTCGCTCTGATGGGGAGCAGCACGTCGCTGTTTGCACTCCAGGCTGTGAAAGAGCACGACAAAGGCTGCTCTGAACCACAGACATGAACGACCACAGCTCTTCCAGGAAAACGAGCTCTCAGCTAACAAAGAGCCCAAAGACACTGCCCAAGAGCCAGAGTTAAGGGAACAGAGAACAGCTTTTGAGTTATCGTGGGTTGTGTTGGCTTCAACTGACTCATTCCTGGCCCTGCTGACATAAATCCATGGCTGTTGGCTGAGCCCTGCCTCACCTGTGTACTCTGGATAGCAGATTGTTAGTGGGCTCTTCTTAATCTTTTCCTCAAACAGGTCCTTCTTGTTCAGGAAGAGGATGATGGACGTGTCTGTAAACCACTTGTTGTTGCAAATGCTATCAAACAGTTTCATACTCTCATGCATCCGGTTCTGGAAAATAAAGGGAGAAGGAGGAGGTGTCATTCCAGAGGTGTCAGGGGAGGATGGGGTGGGGACAGATAAGATTTAGTGCAGAGGCCAGGCCAAGGAGGAAGAGTCATGGATCCCCAGTCTGGTTTGTGTTGAAGGGACCTCAAAGCGCATCCAGTTCCAACCCTTCCACTAGAGCAGCTTGCTCCAAGCCCCTGTATCCAGCCTGGCCTTGAGCACTGCCAGGGATGGGGCAGCCACAGCTTCTCTGGGCACCCTGTGCCAGCGCCTCAGCACCCTCACAGGGAAGAGCTTCTGCCTAAGAGCTCATCTCAGTCTCCCCTCTGGCAGGTTAAAGCCATTCCCCTTGGCCTGTCCCTACATCCCTTGTCCCAAGCCCCTCTCCAGGTTTCCTGCAGCCCCTTCAGGCACTGGAGCTGCTCTCAGGTCTCCCCTTCAGGAGCCTTCTCTTCTCCAGGCTGCCCCAGCCCAGCTCTCTCAGCCTGGCTCCAGAGCAGAGCTGCTCCAGCCCTCACAGCATCTCCATGGCCTCCCCTTGATGTGCCACTGACATCCTCGCTGCCACCAGAGCACGGGCACAACCCTGAGCAGGTTCAGGTCTCTTCCTCGCTCTGCCACTCCCCCAGGACACATTTGTGTGCACAGAGATGCACACATGCCCCAAGGGGAACAACTCAAGGCACCTCCCAGCAACGAGAGCCTGGAGAACATCTCCTTTATGCTTTCCAGGGCAAGTCAGTGCAGGCAGCTGCGAGGAAGCGCTCATCTTCTGAGGAACAGCACAGCAGAAACAAGAGCAGTGACCCAGAAATGCACACACACACCCCCCCCCCATGGAGGACAGGTCTGTGCGTGCTTCCACCCCCCTCCCAGCAGGCAGCAACCTCTAACTCCTCAAC